AATGTATGCTTCAGACACGGGTCACGACGAGGCGTTCCCCATAGCGACCCCTAGAGGACGCAGTTCGAAGTTCCCATGAAAGGGAACTGGCCAGAAAAAGATGTCGAAAATATACTGCTGTGCAGTTCTTCCTTCTTGATAAATCCAGAGATCGAACACCAAAAGGAAATGAGGATGGGATCCTCCTCCAGGCAGGATTGGGCCGAAGGACCATAAGTGTGCCTGAGGAAGCTGACCATTCAGAGGTATGCTAATTCTTAAAAAACTGAAAAATCTGTCATCCCTTTCTCTACCTCATGCTTTCGCAGATGTTTATGACTTTCTTGTTTCATACCCTATTAATATACTACTCATAATAATACAAAGGTCTGTCATGAAACTTTAAATGGCGCAGGCTGATAGGTTGTAGCTCAATCTGATGTAATCACATCATTATTCACATGGCACAGCTGATTAGTTTCTTTCACATCAGCAGCCTATGAGCTTGCCGCACACCATTCTAATACTTGGCTAGAGCTTGCTGTAGGAGTTGCAGCATGCTTCAGAAAGCATCTGAAATCAACATCTAACATAAGTGAATGCTATTTTACTCATTTCACTGTGCATATTGTTTGGTCTGCCCTATTAATTTCTAAATGAGTAACCATAAAACAAGTTTTAAAGGGCACCTATTATGCCACTTTTTACTAGATGTACTGTAATATACAGGGCTCAACGCTTACTTTTCTTTTTAGGAGCACTGGTGCTCCTAATTAAAAAAAATTTAGGAGCACAGTAAAAAATTCTGGAGCACCTTCTGATCAATAACAAAAATTAGCCTTCCCATTACAAGGTAATATTTGACTCAAAGTGATTTACTGGGGCATTTTCTCTGACTTTATTAAAAGTATATAATTTTATGTAAAATTATAAAATGTATATTTACAAGCTTTTCCAAAATTTCTAATTAAAACAATAGGCCCACAATAAGAACAAGAATAATAAGTTACCAATTAAAATAAATCAATAATGACTAAATTCATTTCCACTACAAAGGTGGCACAGAAGACACAAAAGTGGCATGTAGGAATATTTAAAGAGATTTAAAGAAGCTCAGAGGTGGCATGGATGTTTTAAATTCATAACAATGTTATGAGATTAATGTTTTACATATAAAATTTTGAATATAGAAATATAGTTTGATTGAAATTATTTAAAGGGTTAGTTCACCCAAAACTGAAAATGCTGTCATTAATTACTCACCCTCATGTCGTTTCAAACCCGTAAGACCTTCGTTCATCTTCGGAACACAAATTAAGATATTTTTGATGGAATCTGAGAGCTGTCTGACCCTGCATACACAGCAACGCAACTGAAATGTTCCCAAATCCAGAAACGTAGCAAGGAGATCTGTAAAATAATCCATGTGAATAATCCATCAGTGGTACATCCGCAATTATACGAAGCTACGAGAATACTTTTTGTGCGCAAAAGAAAACAAAAATAACGACTTTATTCAACAATTCGACAATTCAACAAGACATGATAATCAAAACCAAACAGATGTTTTTTGGCAGAGTATCTGAGGTATGAACTGTAAAGGCACAGCCATATTCTAGAAAAGGGGGCAGGGAGCAGCAGCTCTTTTGCATTTAAAGAGACATTTAAATGTTTCTGCTTCCACTCAAAATAGGCATTTTCAAAATAATATAATAAATTATCTGTGGGGTATTTTGAGCTGAAACTTCACAGACACATTCTCGGAACACCTGAGACTAGTATCAGGGCTCTACAGTGCGACCAAAACTACTGCGTGCAACTATGGGATCAAATCATAACAACGTAGGAAACAGATACGGCGTGATGCAGCTGACAAAGAACAACATACGTTACGACAGGACACAGATAATAAAAAGAATAATATACAAATATACAAAATAGACAATGTACAAAATAGCAAAAACACAATATATAATATAGACGTCCAGTATATATGTACAATATGTAACATATACTATTATTATAGACGTACAATATCTAATATATACTATATTATATTATATCTAATATAGTAGAAAAATCACACCCAAGTTTGTTAATATGCAGTCTTTACTAATAAGCTGATGACCTGGTGTGTTTAATTAAGGACACACGCAAAGTGTGCAGTGTTGGGGGGCAATAATGTATTTTGTGCTCTATATCTAATGTGGTCTTCAATATCAAGAATACAACTGGCAAAATTTTTATTTTGTCCAGACAGGGGGATCCGGGCAACGATCATTGACGGTGGTGGCACCTGATGCAGAGGGCTATAATGGTCTATATATATTAAAGGCAGCAGGAGGAAAGGCATGCCTTTACATAATGCCAATTCAACACATATTAGACACCTCCCCATTACCTTTGATGGCGAAAGAATTTGAGAAAATGCCTAAAGCCAAATGCATCAACTGTCAGGTTTATGTGCCTGTCCAACTGCTAGCACTTCACATTGACAAATGTGAGCAACATAGCTCCACAGAATGTAAGGTAAGGTATATTATAAACAGACTTACTTCCTGGTTCATTCTTCAAAACTTCTCTACAGTATTTCTTAGACATTACATTTAACAGGTAATCTCTGATGATGAGTCCAGTTTGGACGAATCAGATGAATTGGACAGCTCCATAAATGTAAGTTCAATAATGTGCCTCCTAAAGCTATGTTTTTTCAGCCTTTGCAAATACCATTGTAGGTTATTGTTCTTGAAAATAACAATGTTTATTTATGAAAAAAATGTTAAGCTCTTAGTGTAGGATTGAAATGTTCTTTTGAATGTTCCTTTCACCATTCTTCTATGATGATTTCATTCCAAATAAAGGAATCCTCAAATGAGCCCCCAACCAGGGTGCGAACTACGGGGGAGCTAGGGGGAGCTCGGCTCCCCTTAATAAGACATGGGCTCCCCTGAAAACGGGATTTGTGACATTTTGGGGGGTCTCAAAAAATATTGACAATGTGTTATTTTGACGTGCAATTTCAGTTTTGTGTAATGTGATCATCGTGGATTATTATGTGTAAAATTGCAAAAATATCATTCATCCATGCATGACGGCGATTTAAACCTAATTAACTTCAATAAAGATAACTATACATGCTATTCTTGTCATGAGCATCAAGGTGTGGGGGCGCTGCGGTGCAAATTCCACTCATGTTTAGTACATGTTAACCCAAAGATTCGTAGAAAAAATATAAACGCTGGACTCTGTGGTCGATTCTGTGTTAAGGTAAGGCATGAAATTCGCAATTATGTGTTGTGGCTGGGTTGTTATAGGTCTGCGTGACTCTCGATGTCTTAGGCCTAATTGAACGGAGGAATTATGGTATTCTGTAGCCTGACGACGAGTAACTTTAACCGTTGTTCATGTGAACTCAAAGACAGCCTGATGCTTTGTTTATAGACTATTTGGGGGTGGCTGTTTGTTGCTTCACCTATCAATTCTAGGGGTCGACCGATTATCGGCCTGGCCGATTATCGGCGCCGATATTAAGCATTTAAGCAGAAGATAAGGAAAGCCAAAGGCCCAGACGGTGTCTCTCCAGCCTGCCTCAAAGCCTGTGCTGTCCAGCTATCATCCATCTTTACATTGATCTTCAAACCCTGGAGCTGTGTGTAGTCCCCTCCTGCTTCAAATGTTCCACCATCATTTCTGTACCCAAGAAACCAAAAATCACAGGACTTAATGACTAAAGACCTGTTGCTTTAACATCTGTGGTCATGAAGGCATTTGAGAGACTGGTGTTGGCCTACTTGAAGGACATTACTGGACCCTTGCTGGACCCCCTGCAGTTTGCTTACCGAGCAAACAGGTCTGTGGATGATGCAGTCAATATGGGATTGCACTACATCCTCCAACATCTGGACAAACCAGGGACTTATGCAAGGATCTTGTTTGTGGACTTCAGATCCGCTTTCAACACCATCATCCCGGACACCCTTCAGAATAAACCGACCCAGCTCTCTGTGCCCACCTTCATCTGTCAATGGATCACCAGCTTTCTGACAGACAGGCAGCAGCTAGTGAGGCTGGGAAAACTCACATCCAACAGCCGCACCACCTGCACCATCACTCCTCAGGGCTGCGTTCTCTCCCCACTGCTCTTCTCCCTCTACACAAATGACTGCACCTACTGCACCTCTAATGTCAAGCTCCTGAAGTTTGCAGACGACACCACAGTCATCGGCCTCATCCAGGACGGAGACGAGTCTGCTTATAGACAGGAGGTTGAGCAGCTGGCTGTCTGGTGCAGTCACAACAACCTGGAGCTGAACACGCTCAAAACTGTAGAGATGATAGTAGACTTCAGGAGAATCCCCCCTGCTCTCCCCCCACTCACCATCATAGACAGCACTGTGGCTGCAGTGGAGTCATTCAGGTTCCTGGGCACAACCATCTCTCAGGACCTGAAGTGGAACACTCACATTGACTCCATTGTGAAAAAGGCCCAGCAGAGGTTGTACTTCCTTCATCA